GAAAGCAATTTCGTTCTTTGAGTCTAAGGAAAATTGTATTTCCTTAAAGTCCAGTCCCGAGTATGCATGGATCTGTAATATCCACCACAATGCCGTGTGAGGGTACGCAGCACTTCAAACGTGATATTCACGTTAATGTCCCAGCTATGTCGATCTTGTCACCAGACAGTCTGAAGGGTAATCACAGGATGGCGCCAAATAAGTTATTTTTAAACTGTTCAGCTAAATCTTTCCAATGATGGTAACATACTCTTCTGTCAATGATCATATTGCAAGGAACTCCATCGATATGCCCATTGATGGACAGTCCATTACTGTTGCCACTCATGTAGAAATCTGAGCGTTTTAAAACAGGGTTCATAGCGCAACTGTTCCTTGATATGATCATTAATTTGTTCCTGCGTTGTTTGCTGAGAAATGGTCAATTTTACCCTGTGGTGTCTGCAATCTTTCGTACAGGCCTTCAGCGCACAGTCCAGCACTTTAGCGTCGTGTCAATCCTTTTCCGTCCCATGGTGTTAATTGTCTTAACCCGCCTTATTTCTGCTTGGGGTGTTCTGCAGTTCCTGTATGTGGCCTTCAACACTGCAGTTCCGTACTTTAAGGTTGGTTTCTTTCACAGATTCCGTCTCAGGAATCACGGTTCATCAATAATTGCTTTATTCGTGCCCTGGGGTGTTCTGCAATACCGTCATAGGTAACCTTAGAACCACATCTCCAAACACCTTAGAACTACTTTGTTCTAACGCACTCCGTAAAACGCGAGGCTGGATTAAATATCTAATGAGCCATCGGACCCTGGTCCGTGAGACCGTAAGCTCTGACTGGTTATAGCGATCTCTACAATCTTGTTGCTGGGGCATCGACTTTCATGGCGTGCATAGAGCGCTTTTCAATCTTACATCGCCATTCGCAGTGCGTTGATTCAGGATTTCGGATGTGTGATGAAAATGAAAATTGCAGGGAAAGGCTCTTGTTTCTGTCGGGCACTCCGAAAAGGTGTGATGGGACAGCCTTTCAACATCTGTGGCAAGTTCCTAGAGTGTTTCCGTGGGCTTCTGTTGATGGGATTTTAATTGAAGCCTGCTGTAGTCTTTTAAATATTTCTCGCCAAAGCGCAGCTCCAATGCGCCGGATAGAGCTTCGAAGTCAAGTCTTTGATTTTCTGGAAGAGTCTGCAGGATATCCATTGCATCTGCTCTCACAGAAGTGGCGAGATGACAGGTCTTAGTTTGGGAATCCCATCCATTTTGCTTCTGCCACTATAGAAAACTGTGTCTTATACACTTACCAAGAAGTCTTCCCATCATATGTAGATAGCTTCAGAGAGGGACGAGCAGGCATGGATAGAAATTTAAAACCTCTGGACTTGTTTCCTGCCATCGCTATGAATTTCTTTAGGCTGTCAACTTCTTTGGCGACAGCAGCAGAAACCCTGACATCAATTTGGGTTTGGATCGCAGAAACCTTTTCTTCAATTTCTCCAACTCTGTTTTCAACCGTGTCAAATCTGTCTTCTATAGTTTCAAATTTGTTTTCTATTATGCATGTGATTTCTTTCTTAATTTCCTCTTGGCCCATTTTCATCTCGGCTTTAACAGCTTCCATCTTTTCTTGAATGGCTTCCTGTCTCACCCTAATCTCTTCTTTAATTTCTTCTTGCCCCGCTTTCATTTCTTCCTTAAACGAGGCAAAGGCTGATATCAACTGCCTTAACTGTTCTTCCATCGCTCTTGTTATTGGCATTCAAATCCCACTTCTGATATCAAAAAAAATTGTTGCGTACGGGTTCGTTATGAAATGAATGCACAAGTCCGAAGAAAAATAAACAAAAATTTATTAGTATTACACTATATCACAGTAGTTATCTCTTAACTATTCAAACATTCAACAGAACTTAATTCAAAATAGCTAGAGAAAGCTAATCCACAAATTCGCTACAGTCAACAAGAGCAGTTTTCTAAACAAACTCTTAAAACAACAACAAACTAACTAAATAACTACTCAATTGGGAGGTTTTCCTCCTTTTTATAAGATTTTAAATCACGCGCGAGAAATTTCTGGAACTTTCTCGAAATCAAACAGAGAGATTTATTTATTAAATGCAAGTGCTCTTGTATTTTTAATTTTCCGGCTTAGCTTTCCTTTAATGTTCGTCACGCGCTGCACTGCACAGGGAATAAAACAATTTAATTTATAATTCAACTAACATTAGCTATTTAAATACCGAATCAGTAATGATATATAAATTAGAATGCAAAATAGAAGGGAAAAAAAGAATGACTTTATATGAAATATGATTTAAGTTATTGTCAAACAATTCTATATAATTATTAGTTAACATAATTACTGATAGTGTTTTTAAATAAATTTCAAAGAGAGTATGCTCCTTCTTTATCCACTAAAACTTATAACTATTAAAAATCACTATTCTTACAGTTACCAGTGATAAATGTAATACAGTAGAGATATAATTAAACGTTTTTGTTTAAACTTTACAGAATAAATTGGATGAAATGCTATTTTCCTAAATAAATGTCAGATAATGGGCACATTATCTAATTGTTCAGTCACCTTGCTACCTGCTTTTTCAGCATTCAATGCGCCGAATGTTAATTAATGGAAAGAGATTTTAAAAGATTAAAGAAGAACATTAATTGGACTTCTGAAAGGACTGGAACAAAATCAAGAAAATGCAGTTTCCAAGTGGTTAGAAATAGATCAGTATAAATGGATATATGTCTACAATCATATTTGATTTTACCCAGATACAATAATGATTTCCTCATAGGAAAAGTATATAATTTGCTTGCTTATCTCAAATGAGGACCCTATGCAATTTTAAAGGCTAATTATAGTGTCATGCATGAGATGCCAGGCTCAAGCATCTACATAAATTTAATGCAGTGAATAAGCAGTTTTATTTAGAAAAGAATATTTAAAGGGATGAATATACATTAAAAACTCTCTCATATACACCATGTCCCCAAAATTCTTTACCCAGCTTTTATTCTTGCAAACATTAATCATAGACATATATTTTCAGTCACAAAAATGTTTACAAATAAAGCAAAGATTCACATTTTGGCATTTTGTAAAAGTTAGAAAATCTAACCTTTTATACATTCCTCCAGTCTCTATATTTATATTAAAAAAAATGTTTGCATTCATTATAAAAAAAACCCTCTAAATACCTTTTTTTATTTATATAATGTGCCCCCTATTATTTATAATAATGTTGTATCCTCCTGTACAACAATTACCAGAGTATTTTTTTTACACTGAAATATTTAATTTCCAATTTTTGACATCAGTTTAAATATGCATTAAAGAGTTGTTTAATAAGTAAATAAGAAAAACTTGAGAATTCAAAGTTCATTTTCCTCTTAAATGCCATTGAACATTACTCTTTTGTGATTTACAAATATCTTAATTTATAATTTGTTACACTGTTATACAGAAAGAATTCTCACAGAAGTAATTTATAAGTTTTCAATATCTAAATATTTATTAACATTCTCAAGTATTAATTTGGAATCATAATTTGGTAATTATACAAAAAATTCATTAAAGCATAAATACTTTTCATTTTTAATTAGTGCAAATAATATTATTGGTTCACTACATAATACTGAATGAAGTTTTCCAATGTTTTCTAGAAAGTGAATTTTATAAAATTCTGCAAATAAGACTTATACTAATCAATATTTTTCACTATAATCTGCATAGAAATGTTCAGCACTTAATTTATTAACATCAAAAACTTTTCTGTAAACTGAAATTTTATTTTTAACTAGTATAAATGCAGACATATCGCTCTTCCAATTTGCGTAGGGCCTCTGAATATGATTGCAATTTTAATATCAAATATATAATTCAGTTTTCGCCTTACAAAGTCATTTTAAGATTTAAAAGTGGCAAAAGTCATAATAAGAATATTTGCATTGTTTTAAACATTTTTGTAACTAAAAGTACATGGTTGTGAAAATATAGGTTAGGTAAGGACTATTGTGCATACAGTGTATATTTAATGGAATTAGTATGAAGGCAATGCTACGATGAAAGAATATTTTTGACGATACCTTCCTGAATGATTTGAAGAAAATTTACTTGAGTAAAAATGAAAAGTAATAAAAGGCACGTATGTTTTATACTTCATTTTAAAACTGCATGCAAGAATACAGTCCAAAATAATTTTCCAAGATTGGAAGAGAGGGCTTAATTGACACAATTTCCAATTAATTCTACAAATGAAAGAATTTGTTTCAAGATAATTCTGAAAACAGACAGACATATCAGTTAAGAATATAAAAATTACTCACTTTTAAATTGATTACTCTTAATGTTGCAATGAGAAATACAGATTAAAGAATTACTTTCCATTTAAGGTCAGAGAAATAATAATAATATTGATAATAAAGCTATATCCCATTTTAAGATTTAACTTTTACATATTTACAATGCTGCAGCTTTAGAAGCAGAAATAACAAAAAAGTTTTACTGCATGAGCTTTTCTTGTTAATCTGATTTTTTTGCATTACTAAGTTACTGAAAAACTTCCTTAAGTTTCCAAAGGCTTTTAGTGCAATATTTCTTTTATATATCTTTCTATAGTTTACCTTCTTTTTCAAAGAACATACATCATTCATTTGTGATTGCTCATTTTCACTCCTATAAATAAAAAAAAATTCAGATGTGAAATTATATTGTGAACAATAGTTATTTAAATAAATAAATAAAAAAAAAAAAGAAAAAAAAAAAAAAAAAAAAAAAAAAAAAAAAAAAAAAAAAAAAAAAAAAAAAAAAAAAAAAAAAAAAAAAAAAAAAGGAAATTCAACTATAAAAAATTAAAATAAAAACTTAAAAAACTTAAGAAAACTTAAAATTATTTGTACAGTTGTTTTGAATCTGCATATGCAGATTCAAAACAACTGTACAAATAAATTTTAACATCAACAGTTCAGAATATCTTAATTCATTGAAGAAAATAAACCTCTTGATCATGTCTTTGAAATGAATACAATTTTCTATAAAATTAATGCCAAACTAAGGTTGATTTTTGACTAATATTATATTTTATATCCCCACACAATTTAATTATTATTAATAATAAATACTAAGTTCCTGGAAATATTTGTTTCATTTTAATTTCCTACTATCTTATTTTTTAATGGAGATATGTGCATCATCCATCTCATTTTTTTATACAGCTCTGATACCAATTAACAAAATTAATCAGATCGAGACCAATGAATTGCATAAATTTTGTTCACTTTTTAAGAAACATGGAACATGATTTTTAGTCTTGCATCATGCTTCAAAATTTTATACAACATTTGCATTTGCATAATTTGAAATGTGTTACATTTACTGAAGAAAAAACAGACCAAAATATACATTAATACATAAATTGTAAATTCTAATTAAAGCAAATCTAAACCATTTAAAAATCTTATTATATTACAAAAATTATTCAATAAATTTTTTTCAATAATTTTAAAATTGTGGAAGTTTTATTAAAATTTTTTTTTCTTATTATTTTTTAAAAATAAATTGCAAATATTTCTTAAAAGAATTTGCATCTAATTATTTAATAATAACTTCAGTTTTATGAAATTCTATAATTTGCTTTGTTTGTTTTTGAAAATATTAAAAGGATATTTCTCTCCCATTTGGGGGGCAGTTGTTAAACCTTAATGAGGAGCAATTGTTTCTAAATGTAAATATTTTGTCAGATAGTTAACAAATCAATCAAACGTGAGATAAATCGCTTAAATATGTTAATAATAGCAGATTTTAAAAGCTTTTTTCTAAAAAAAATATTTGTTTCTAAAGTAAAAAAAAAAAAAAACACTTTTTAAAGTTTTGCAAAAAGTCTGTTTTATATTATTGATCAATATGCAACCCATAATTTTAAAGAGAATATAGAACACATACTATATATTTTCGACAAGAAACCAAGATTTTGCTGTAAAATTTCAGTTTTTTTATTTGCAGTTCTCAAAATTTCAGTTTTTCATTTTGCTATAAAATTTACTTTGTTTTCATTTGCAACAGCAATCATTTTAAAGGAATCAGAAAAATTTTCCCTCTTAGCTGTTCTTCCTTTTATGAGCAGAACAGGATTCATTTCTGCTACACAAACCCCTTAATTGCCTGAAACTCTGCTCTTTCCTTAGAAAATAAGTGACTTGTATAGAAGACCCTGTTGCTTCCCATAATAATTTAGGCCTGTTCTGTCTGAGATTATCTATGTGATTCACGACTACAGAAACTGCAACAAATTAAAAGTGTTACCTTAAGACAAATTTTTAAGTGTCACTGGTTCACTAGGAATGAAGCTGTTCGCTATGAATTAAATGTGGATAAAGTTGCTCCATGCACCGCAAACAAATTCCTTAGGAAAATAGTGTATGAATTATAACTACAAAGAACTATCTAACAGTAAAACACCCTGAGAGGTTCTGCTCCATTTAACATAACTACTTTATTTGTAATTTGTTAATTTCTTAAAATTCTCTCTTATGTTATTCATTATCCCCCTCATTTATTTTGGCTATTACTATTCCAAATCTGTATAGCTCTGAAGGAGTCCTGCCCCTTATCCAATGCCTGACCTGCATGAAGTTGAATTTTACTTTCAGCTACACCATTGCCTCCAATGCTATAAAGGCTAAGAAGCCCCACCTTCACTACTCCAAGCCTTCATCTTGAATTTTTCTCAGTTTGGACCGAGACTCCCCACTGCTCTGATGTAGCACTACAACTTTCAGTCGAATAATGTTTTTACTAATCATTAATTGCTTATCTCACTATATCATTTTGATGCTTATCGTCAATTATACTTGTTAGCTGTTACAACAGTTCTTCATTGCTTCTACACCACCTTGACTTTGCACAGCGTATTGTTCAGCATATTCTTGGAGACCCTCCTAAGCTCATAGCATCGAAGATAAGGCTTAGCTTTTCCCACTCCTACTGCCACCTTCTTCATGTTAGCAACAGGAAAAGTTATGGTACCTATTACAATGTTATATTCAGGATGCCGCTTTCACCCAGGTCAGTACTAGTAAGCATGTTCACCCGAATCTTCTGCTATACAAAGAAAGATTCTCAGATAAAAAAAGGGGAGTCTGCATATTCTGCTATTTTTAAACTAAAAGACTTTTGTTGAATAATTCTACAGAAGGAACAGAAAATGATATTATTTATGACAATGATGTTCATAGTGAAATGAGAGAGAAGCACATAATACTTGAGCTTGCCTCAAGCCAAGACTTCAGAGAACTGCTAAAAATTCCAAATTTATCGATATTACGAAACTGCATTAGTGGGTAGTAGGATCAAATCCTTTTTTGTTATTTAATACATCATGATTTTATAATAAACTTTTCTGTAAATCCTTTTGAACTTATATAAACACCAACCACTAAAATTTCGGTTGTAAAAAGCAAGCTAAAAATTCTTGGCTTCTGCAAAGAAATATATGGTGATTTTAAAAGGAAAGGAAAAGAGTAAAGGAAAAGACATGAAGCTATATCCTCTCCTTTTGTAAATGTATGTGGCCTACCATGTTGGCAACTCTGACTGGACCATATATTTTTGTTAAGTGCATCAAGGCAGCCACAATTAAAAGACCATAGTTTTCTTAGGGAAGTAATTCTCATGCACAGTTTCTTGTGAATTTTCACTCTACTGTTGATGATGCATTCCATTACAGGAGGGATGGTAATATTATCATGAGTAATTATAATTGCTCACTTCATTTTCATCTGCTCCAAAACATTGGTATTTCTTTATTAGAGATGTACAGTTCATTACTTTTGACATCTAAACAAAAACAATATTTCTTTTTAAAAATTGAGTCTCAGAATACATGGATCTTATATCAGCAACATAGACTGTACGCTCATATGCACAGAATGCAAACTTAATGTGCTCATTCCTTCTCTTGTACACTGGCATTTTCTCTTTGTTCACAGTCTGTAGAGCTAAGGATGAAGCAGAATACAAGAGGTTTCTGTCCATTTGCCAGGTTACATTAGCTCACAGAATAGTTATGTTAGCATTAATACATACAATCATGTGGTTAGAAGATCAGTCTTCGATTTCACTAGTTGCTGCTTCTTTATATTTTTTTTACATAGTCCCTTTAAAGCAGAAAACACTGCCTCCATAAATATTCTTTGCTACTACAGCTCCAGATTTTTTAAAAAAATTTATTATTACAGTTGCTTTGAGTCTTTATTGCTTTTACTGGTTCCAGTCTTTTCATCAACTCCATCAACACTAAAAACTTATGAGTTGCAGTCATATGGTGATATAAACAATAAATAAGTAAAAATACAGACAGAACTAAGAATACAGAAAATAACACAATAAAAAAATAAAAAAAGGGTTTAAATACACACAATAATAACATGACAATTTTTAACACAATAATAAAAAAAGGGTTTAAATATTTTTAACAATCTCTATATTCCTTACAAAGGATGAATTTTTAAGGGAAAAAATTAAATGTGTTTTAAAGGATAGCATAGTTTCTATTCTTCACTAAGAATAAATTCACTAAGACAGTAACAATTTCTATAAGAGTTACTTGATTCTTAAAAATACCAATAATGTACCAATTAATTTGTATGATACATTCTAAATTCAATTATTCTGTGGTCTGATAAATAACTGCATACCCATGATCTTTATCTGAAGAATTACTCGGTGTTTTATTACTTGCTGACATCTTCTCTGTAGATTTATTTTGCAAGGAAGATAGAGGTTCATCTTCAGACTCACTACTGGTAACGTCATTCTAAATTAAAGAAAATTTAATTATTTCATATCATTACAAACACAGCAATAAAAGATACAGACCATAACTTCTAACTGAATAAGACAGTTTTACCAGATTATTTATTAAAATCCAGGTACTTATGCATCATCCCATTGATCATGAAACTGTCATCATGCAGCATGATTTACCGGCAATTATGGATAAGCATGATACAATAACACACTCATAACATTTCACTTTTGTCTTATGTAACTCTGATTGATTCTCAATATGGCAAGTTTTGTTCTTATGAACAAGGATATACGAGGGTTCTTATGAACAAGGATATACGAGGGAGGGAGAATAGTGGCAACACATCTGAAAAAACGCTACGTAACAAAACCAAAGAATAATGCGTATACCACACGTCAATTACATACCTACCTTACCTCTCAACAAAAAGACTCGTCCTGCCTACGTCACGCGCATGCGGAGTGACACGAAGAATGGATCCTTGTATTAGCTCGCGGTCTAAAGTATGTGTTGTCAGGATGTTTTCAAAACAAGAACAATGTTGTTGGATAAAAATTGAAAGTGCCAGAGGTTGTACAGCACGACAGTGTCATCAAGGGCTTCAAAAGGCTTGCGGAGAATCTGCATTGCCTTACAAAATCATAGCAAAATGGGTGAAAGCATTCAATGAAGGTCGCCAAAACGTGGCAGACATGCTGCGGCCAGGTCGTCCTAATGTCAGCGATGCAGACATGCAAGCTGTTGCCGCTTTAATGGACAGTGATCACCGCCAAACGATTAGTTAGCTTGCCGGACAAACAGGATTAGCGCATACGACTGTGCTGCACATTCTGAACGAACGCCTGTCCATGAGAAAAATTGCTTCACGATGGGTTCCACATCAATTGACGGAAATGCAGAAATGGCTACGATACGATGCTGCCCGAATCCACCTGGAGCGCTATGAGCGCGAAGGAGATAGATGCTTTTTTTACGCCATATCATTACGTTGGATGAGACTTGGGCCCGATCGTACCAGCCAGAACTGAAAACGCTAATCAAACGAATGGCGCCATCACGGGGTCACCACGACATTCGAAAATTTCGTCAGAAACCCCAGCCAATGTGAAAGTTATGGTGATTCTCGTGTACGACTGTGATGGTGTCATCCTAACGCATACCGTTCCCCCACAGCAGACCGTCACTGCGCAGTATTACTGCTCATTTTTGGAGCACAATCTCCGACCAGCTTTGAGAAAAAAAACGGCGACACTTTTCTGCAGAGCTCTCCTCTCATTTTTGCATGACAATGCTCGGCCGCATGCAGCGCAAGCTGTGACTGATTTGTTCAGAGTGATGGGGCTGGAAGTGCTTTACCATCCACCATACTCCCCAGATCTAAGCTTTTGTGACTATGACTTAATTCCTAAGATGAAGGAACCACTTCGTGGCACTCGCTTCCAAACTGTTCCTGAGATTCTTGCGGCAGTAGACCGGTCCATTCAAACTATCAACAAAACAGGCGCTGCTACAGGTATTCTGCGACTTCTACATCGTTGGAAACGGGTTGTACACAATGCTGGCGACTATATTGAAAGACTGTAAAACATGGTGACATCAATCACTTTTGTATTCCTTGTAAATAAATAGTTGCCACTATTAAAGTTCCAACCCTCATAAATTAACTATTACTGCTGTATTTTCCCATTGCATAGAAAAAGATTAAAATGGGATTTGCCCACAAAACAGCAACCAGTAGATTATTTTCAAAATTATGGGATCATACCATAAAAAAAAAAAGAATGTATTAATGGACATGATATGGTCTGCTGAATATGGCCGAGAAAAACTTAATAGACTGGAGCAATTAATTGTAGGACATTTATACTCTTAATATTCAAAACAAAACAGGTGAAATGAGTGCCTAATGTAGTAGAAAATCCACACAGCACCCTAAAACAGAATGAGTCAAATACTAATTGTATATTAAGTGAAGATGCATCACCTCCTTCAGAATTCTGTAGGAACGACTGGCGCAATGTTAGTGGGATCTCCGCTAACTTTCATAGTTGATGGGATAATATTTAAGTACCAAAATCCCTATTTTAAGCTAAACTTTTTAAAAGTAGCATCAAAACGTAAACTTCCAGTTATAAATTTTTACAGATCTTTTCTACTTTGTCTTCTTGAAAGAACTAGCACTTGTCTCAATGAAACAATCTACAACCAAATTCTTTTTTACTTCTCTTACTTACAACTACTAATTTCTTTGGTTCTTAAGTGTTAGTGCAATCACCTTGGAACAGTTTGGCGATTTTTACAGAAAAAGAAAGAATGATGACTTATAATTGATAGAAAAAAACTATTACTTGCATATGCATGTAATTAAGGTAATGCATGTAATTAAATAAGGTATTTTCTACCAGAATCAATCAATAGACATATTTACCTGTGAGTTTTTATTTCTTTTGTTTCTGTGGAAATTTCAGAGATGGTTTTAAGAATTCAAGATGTTTGTTTTATTCAGTAATTTTGGAATTACTGCAGAAATTATACAGCAAACACTTTCATTGCAAATTCTACAAATTCTTATTTTTAAATAGTTAAACAAAAAATATCATAATAATCTATAAAAACCGTTGGAACTTGGAGTGCAACCAAAGACATTTAGAAATGGCGATGATGCTTGTTATGCCTGAAGAGTTATTATGCGCATGGTTGTCTAAAGAATTATTAGAATCCCAGAATTTAGCTCATTCTGAAAAATTTGTGACTTCCAATAAGAAAGTTGTGCTAATACATAAATAATTTTTTTCCCCTTAAATTGTGTTACCTTGCAATCCAATGCAAAAGAGAACCCGGAACAAAAAGAAGCACAGCTGAAACCTTACCACCACTAAAATTAGAGGAATATGCTATTCAGTCCTATTCGCATTCCATAAAGTCAAAATGTTAACCAATTCCGTATAGTTGAAAAACATCAGCAGATGATTTTGTACTGCTGAGCAGGGAATAACTATACATTTTAAAAGGTCAAAAATAATTTTTTTCCCTACTTAAAAGGAATACAGTCAAAATATAATATTAAAGTTAACACAACTTGAATATTATTACTAAAAATAATATTTGTTGTACCAATTTCAGTTCAGGAGCTTCAAGTACTACATCATGAGATAATCAGTTCCTTTCAAGCATCCTCAATACTCAACAACATTTTCTATCACAGCTCATACAGTAAAATTGGTTTGTTTTATGTGACTATGGCAAAGCATGCTAAGGCTATCTGCCTAAGGGGAGGGATGACTTTGTAGAATATTTTCTTAGGGAAACTTTCTTGTATCTACATTACATATGGGGAAATCCATGAAAATGCCCATGCATTCAACCCATTCACTTGGAATCAAACACAGGTCTAACTACAAGTGTTCAGCAGCTTTACTGCTCAACTGTTGGTGAGCCTCGTATAGTAAAGCAAACAGCTATAACTTGCTCAAAGAAAAATAACAACATAGATAAGGAAAATGCTCCCAAATATGAAAGAATACTGCAGATCCCCTACTCACAGATTAAAATCCAAAACAGGAATCCCAAAGAACTCTATACCTGTCTGCACAAAACTCATATACACACACGAAGAAAAGACCACAATTCCTCAAAATGCTTTGAGCATTTTCGATCAAAATTAATGCTGAAAATAAAAATTGTCACATGTTTATAACACATTATTTGATAAAAGTTAATTTTTTTTTTTTTTTTTTTTTTTTACTTTTAAAGAGCACAGACATAAAAATTCTGATGTGGACACCATATGATTTCCTTGTATGGCCTATTAAATTACAGATATTTTTGTTGCATTTCATTTAAACTTATTAGCTCAAATTTCATTAGAGATAATTCTCATTCAATTAATTCAGTTCTCACATTGCGGGAAGGCAAAAATACATATAAACTCAAAACATTTTCATTAAACATTGTAAAATACATAAATGCATAAAACAGTTTAAAAAAATTACAATTAAAATTAGAGTTTCTACGCAAAAACAAGCAATTTGGCCAAGGGGAAGGAAGACAGATTTTTTTGGTGTATAAAGCTGGAAGTTTACTTTTAGTTCAGGTCGGCAAAAAGACACTGAAGTTGGTGCAAAAACTGACTTAATTCATTATACTAAGAGTTTCAAATGTAAACAAATGACAACCTTATTAGGTTTAGTACCACTTAAACAACTACATGGGTATGTGCATTATCTATTTCATATTTCGTAAAACTTTAGCCAATTTTTGATTAACAAACTCAATGATTTCAAAGCAAGCAATGGCAACACTCTGCAGGAAAAAGCATTTTTATCTCTAGCACGTGAGACTGCCCATCAGAAATTTTAAAGATTTGCTGTTTTTAAATAGTTTTAGCCCAAATGCTCTCGAAACATGCATGTGTCAGTAAATAAAAAAAATGAGGGGGGCATTTGGGCATAATATAAAATCTGAAAGCATTCAGCTATTATTATTTTTCTTTTCTTTTTTTTTATTATTTTATTTTTCTTTTCTTTTTGGCATGGTGCCTAAACTTTGGGATATTTTTTTCTTGCCACTTTGGTCACCAATAAAACCAATATGTACTTATACACACTATAAAACAGTAATTTCTGATTTTTTTTTGATGCAAGCTGGAACTAAGTAACATTGTTCAAATTGTGTTATAAATATTGTTCGTTAATGTCATTTATAACTTAGTTTTTTCATTTTTTAATGTTTATTCTTCAATTCTTCAATTGTTTAAAGAGAGTTCTTTTTTATTTTGAATACTGATTTAATTTATGTAACCAAATGAATTGTTTCTGCAGATTACACCGTTTTACATATAAATAAAATGTTAACAAATTTCTGTAAATTAAAATAAGAGTTATTCCATTCCTGCATTTCAGTAATTTACCTTGAATTAACCGTGATTTTGAATTAACTATAGACATCTCCTCAGTTAATAGGAAGTTTACTCAATTCTTAAATATTTGCAATGCATATTTGTGTCTCTCAAAATTTGTGTTAAGAATCCAAATGTAAAAAAAAGCAGAATTTTGAAAATAATTCAAGGGGGCAACTCTTCTTTTTCATTGCTTTTTTTGGCAAATTTGAGAATATAAAGGCAAAGCCTGTAGAGATAAAAAAAATCCAGTCACCTCATTATTCATGAAAAACAGAACAAACATGCTAAAAGGTTTCTGTGACCTCCAGTAATTTTTTACAGTATTTCCTTAACCCTTTCCGGCGCAGTGTGTTCAGTGTGAACACACCAAAAATATTCCCTCTTTAGACACTGAAAAATAATCGATAAATATCATGAAAACTACACTAATGGTTACTTTTAATCTCTTTTATGAATAATAGATGGCAGCACCATACAAGCAAATCATTAACGTTGAGATATATTCTGTTTTTAAAGAGACTGATTTTTCAAAGAAATGTTTAAAATTTTTTTAAATATAAAGAATATCAATGAAAAAATAATCTTTATATAATTTGTTGTTTGTTTGCTAATCTGCCTATTCTGTATTACTTTTAATTTTTATCTTTGAAATATTGCATATAGTGAAGCCTTCAGTGTATGGTGTGTTCGGACTGAACACACTGTACTGGTAGCGCCTGTCACGTGGGAGTGAGTCACAGAATCTGGTTTTGTGCTTCAAACACGGGAAAGGGTGAGAATTTTTTTTATTGATATTTGTTTTTATTCTTTTCTGTTTTGGGTTTTGAAGACCCCAGTGCTTTGTTTTCACTTAGCTATTTGATTTTCAGCGAGAGCAGGCCTTTTTCTTCTCTTGCTTTCATCATGCATAGTTTGCTTAGTTTTGATTTCTGTAGATTTTTATTTGTATATATATTTAATAATAATTTTTTTCTAGTTAATAATTAATTGTAAATATTATAGTATTTTAATTATTTTTCTTATAAATTTTAAAATTGTGTACATGGCTCGGAGAAACCTCAGCATTGCCGAAGTTTTTTTGAAGAGTTTCCTCCCCCCCCAGTTTGTTTTTGGGTGGTGGTGTAGAATAGCAGGCCTTCCCGTGGTGCACCCTGGGTTATGCTAAATCTGCTGCAGAGATTAGATTCTACTGTTTTTAAATCATAGACAAAGTATTTTACTGTAATACGTGCTTCACAGCAGTGCTCACCTATCGCAGCTCGTGCGGCTCACTGTATTCACTTCAGACACACCAAAATGGAAATGGTTTATGCAATCTTTGTAAAATTATACCTGCATACTCTCGTATACCTAAATAGACTGCCTACAAATTTTTTTGGTAAAATTCCAACTTTAAAGAGTAGTGTGCCGGAAAGGGTTAACTGGTTACGATGCTTGCTTTCAAGCACCTGTAATACAGAGCACAAAAATTTTTACTGCATAGATTTTATTTAGTCAGATTTATTACACTAACATTTTATTGTATAAGATATGAAAACAGAAGACATTTTCATCTCTAAATTTTACCTTTATGATTTTGCTATTCTTTCTATTCGAAGAATTAATGCTTCTTTCTGGTAGGTGCCCAGTTTTTTCCCTATAAATACAGAAAATATAAACATTAGACATTAAAGGTTTAACAAAACAGTATTTTAAATAAATCTAATTTTTTAAATAAAAACAATTAATTTTACATTTAGACTAAACTAATTAGGTACTGAGATTAAAAAAATTAAAAGCTTTTTTTTAAAGCTATGAAAACATTATCAAAACAGTAACAATGAAATAAGCAAATATTTACTAGCATGAATAAATAAAATTTAGTAAATATAACAGACATGGACTGACATTTTTAAACAAATTTCAAAATTCTCTCACTAAAAAAATGAATACTTACGATTTTATTTCTGCTAATGAAACATTTTCATTTTCTGATGATTCACATATATCTTTGATTGCACCAAAATTAAAATCTTCACTTGCATCTGATCCGGTGTCACTATAAATCTTAAATAAGCAGGGAAAATTAGTTATATATAATAGAAATAAATCAAAGAACTGCACAAATTTATATGCATGAAATTCAATTATTTAAGAAGCACAACTTCGTGGAATGAGAAATTTTGCATTCTCTACTCTTGGGCAAAATGCCATATTTCTGAAGAAATGTGATTCTTTCTTATCCGCAGACAAATTCTACAGTTCCATTACATTTCCTGACAAAGTAAGAAAAAGAGAGGGGGGGGAAACAACTCACTAAACCGAAAAATGACCATCAAATTTAAAGATGCAAATCAACCCTCTTTCGTGAGCATGTGCGCATACCTGGGTTCCCACCTAAATAACTTTTGGCAACATCATGGGTTATCTCATGAATGCTTTTCAGTAGGGTAGCATAATCAGAAAGATCTGATTCAAATTCAACCAATTTTTTTTTTTTTTTTTTTTTTTTTTTTTTTTTTTTTTTTACCTAATGTTGATAATTAAATTTGACTGGATTACTTAATCAAAGTAAAACACATAATAACTATCTGTTTAGCTCCATCCTAGTTCTACTTAATAGGCACTTGGAAAATGGAATCTGACAGTCTCATATTCAGTCATTAATATTTGTTCAAACAATTTTGGTTTTATTTTAAATGCTGAAAGAACACGCCATTACATATTTCAAAATGTTGAATGACTGCAATCTAGGATCAATATGAAAAATCACATCAATTATTTTTCTCCCTTAAAATATAATTAAATATTTTTGTACAGTATATCTGGGTATATATCTGGCATATATACATGATAATATCTGGGTTACTATACATAATAAATGTAATCTAACAACATTACTTTGGGAATAATTCAGACAACATAAGTCTTAATCTTCCCCAGATTGCAGATAAAAAAAAAATTTAAAAAAACTATTGCTAACTTTAAATTGATAATTTCTACTTTCAGTAGCATTAGCATTGAAAAAAAAAATTGTATCCTTAATAATGAAGATGTAATACCACAATATTAGATATAATATCAAAATTCAGAAAAACAATTAAAGTTCTTTTACTTGGAAGATACTGTGGCAACAATTAAATTCATTGCATAGTAATGAAGAGTTTGGAACAACAATTATTATATTTTTTATCTTTAAGTTTGTATCATTATGATATATTTCCTTGCTATACTTAGATATTTTAAACTAGTAAATAAATAATAAAAAAAATGAATATTTAAATACCAATGGGGTCATAATTTTGAATACTTATTCGACTTCCCAAATTGGTCACCAATTGTATATCCCCCAGAGTCAATATAAAAATGACATTATCAAGACAATTTCATAACGATGAAGGCTATCACTTAGATGAGAGGAAGTCGTTAAAAATTTGTCAGAATATACATTTCAATTCAAAATGACAATTTCTAAAAATTCAAATCAGTCTACTCTAATTTAAATAGGCCATTAAATATTTTTTTTTCTTTCACATTACCTTTTTGTTACTTTTTTTCTTGTATGCACTACCTACAGCTTTTTCTTGAACATTTTCAGAGCTGCAAGAAAAAGTATTTTTAATATACCAACTTTGCCCTCACATAATTATATTCAAAATACATAGTTATGTAATAAAAAAGTAAAAGATTTCGAAAAACACAATTTTATAGAAAGACAGCCATCTAAGTAGAGGGTAGTCATAAAAATCTTTTCCAATATATGAACGCCTATTCGCTCAACCAATCGAAATGAAATTTCAGATATTAATATTCGAGGTATGCACTTGAAATTGTGATGAGTTAAAATAATACAGCTCTCACAGTTAAGGTGAAAATGAAAAAACTTCGAAGTTTTCGAAAGGTAACACCCATTTTTTACATATGCAAATTGATTAGTGCATTGAAACACCATAAATGGCATTGGAACAATACACATATAAAGAAAATTGTCGGTGCGAAACATTTGCAAAGAAGGGCATTGTAAAGGACCAGTGACAGCACTAGAAAGGAGACGGGGAAAAAAAACTTTTATTGGAATTACAAGTTTTCAATGTGCCCACCTTTGCAGATGATAACACACTGCATGTGAAAGATTGTTGACAACTATGACAAACATAAAACTGGGGGCAGAATCTGCATAACTTCACATTTTATGGCATCTTCCAATTCTGGCAAATCCCATGAATGTGGCGTATACACCTCAGACCTCAATGCTGGATGATCTCAGAACCAGAAATCCATTGAAGTGAGTCGTTAAATCGTGGTAGCCACGAAACTGCAGAGATGACTCTACCTCCCATAACTAAGTCCTGTTACAGTACTAGCGGAAGACATGTGGCTTTGTGTGGAGGAGCACCATCTTGCATCCATACAATGTTATATAATGTGATTAAGAACATTTCATTGCTGTTATTCTGAAATTATATAAGTGTGCAACATTGTTGTATACCAAGCATGTTTTCATACCTGGGGAAGGCTCATGTGCTAGGCACTTCTACAGGCTCCTAGGTTGGGAAAGCCACATCCTGTGTGTATGAGCTCTTCAAAGTATGGATAGAGAACATATGTATTTGCAATGCCGCATAATACAGTCAGTTTAGCTTCATGTAAAGATGCTGGTGCTACATCGTGAGGATTTTTGTCAGCCCAGTGAATGCAGTTCTAGGAATTTGTATTTCCACTTAAGAAAAAATGTGCCTCTTCCATCCATAATATCCACAGCACCTACCTGCTATCTTCATCATATCTGGTGAGGGAAAAATTTGCAAAGTCAACATGCTGTTGTTCATATTCAAGAAAATTGTCAAAATCTCTGATCTAGATTCTTTTTTTGCTGCCATCACTCAAAAAAAAAATCTCTAAGTGCTCAGGAATACAACCTGAACTATTTACTTAAAGGTGAAAAACCATACCTTAATCCATTTAACATCTTTCAGAGATAATGGAACAAAAATTACTTAAAAATAATAATGCTAAGCATTTGAAACTATTAAACTAAAATGCAATAGTCTTCAGTTATACAAATCAGGAGTTCCCAACCTTTTAAAAATTTTGTTGGAAGCGTGCCAGGAATATAGATGTGCTATTGGTTCACGAATTGATTCACATTATTGGACAGGAAACACTAGATTTTTGGGGGGGGAGAAAGAAAAAGAACATGGAACTCTTAAAAATTTACTTATAAAAAATTCTTGTTGTAAGCGTGTCAAGTAAGTTCGTTTCCCATTTTAGGGATGAAAAAATGTTTACTCTCTTACACTGTTATCTTGTTAAAAGTGAATTTAATTTTTATCCTTTCCCAATTTTTTCAAAATTTTTCATTCTAGAATTTTATTGCTAGTTCATTTGTAAAAAGTAAGTTTTAGGAAATCGTAAAACTACAGTTTTGTTCTGAGTTATAAAGAGTGGTTAATAAGCGCTATGGAGAGATATCTGTTCATGAAGGTAGTGTCTGATCGAATCAATTCTTTCAATCTGTGTCTGATCGAATCAATTCTTTCAATCTGACTCCTACTCTGATTCTTTTAGCTCCGACCTGCTTAACTGTTTCTGATCTCAAAGCTAATTCGATTCTTTCCTCTCTTCATTCCTCATTCCCGATGTTTTTGATCAAGGCTATTGTCAGTGATCGGCAGTCATAAAAAAAAAAAAAAGATGATTCAGTTCAGTAAGCATAAAACTGATTTGATCAAATAAAACAGCAGTTTTGCCCATCTCTAGATTCTACTAACTATACTGCTTTTGAATACATTTCAGGCAGCAAATTAAGCTGCATTACATTCCCTTAATTAATTTCCTTTTGTTAAGCAACAGTTCAAATTTTCTAAGTATTTTCCTTTTTAATCAGCATTTATTATACTTTGTAACTTTCTGCCATCACTGACTACTTTTTATGTACCCCTGACCAAGCTACTGTATATCCCCTAGGGTTACGAGTACCACAGGTTGGAAACCACTGATCTAAATATGTATAGTTTTAAGAGGTTAGATCTTAACAAAATTTTCAGTTAAACTAATTTTATTTTGAACTGTTTATATTGCCATGGTGTACAATATTTTTATTCATGGTCTAATTTTTATTCAATAAGGTGTATGGAAGAACATTAAAGAAAGTTTACAAATAACAACACACACACACACACACACAAAAAAAAAAAAAAAAAAACATTTGCATAACTTACTTATAACCTGATACTCTCATTGTGAAGACTAGGCAGGCATCCTCCCCCAACAGCTCATTTGAAAAAAGATAATTGAAGAAAACATACTTGCCACTAGATGATATCATTGAACAATATAAGCCAATGAATATACAATACAGTCTGAGATTCAGAATAGTAAGGACTTTGACAATGTTGGAAATTTCTGGATTTTAAATCTAGTAAGATGAAATGTAGATATGGCAACATTGGGGCTTACCTGATTGTTTGGTTCCCATAGAAAAACACTACTCTCTCTTGCACAAGGTGAGTACTATTGCAGTTGCAAATGGTGTGACTGCAACAGGTGTCAGAACTTAAGAGTGGAAAAAATGTTTAGAATTTAGAAGAGCAAAAAATGGGGATGGCAGAATTTTCACAATTTAGGAAAGGTACTGGACAGTAGAACTGAAAGCCGGAAATTTTTTTAGAGTTTAAAGAGGTACCAGGCAGCAGAATTGAGGACTCTCAGAATCTGCACCTGGTGGCAAAATGCATACCCTTAATTATGTGAGTTCTCCACAACTACTCGAGGCCCAAAAGTATGATCCTGGCCAACATCAATACAAAGTCAACGCACTACTACTGCTGGTCATGGTGTGAATTCTAGACCAGCAGTTACTAAATTCTCCATTCCTAGACTTTGAAAAGGAACATGGGATATTTTTTATTATATTTATTTATTTATTGGCTGGTGATCCAAAGGCACCTTAGAGCACTCTGGATATTGAATATCTGGATTTAGGACTTTGCACTGTACAAAACCAATATGTACACAAATATACGTAATAAAATAGATTTTATAGAGTAATATAAATTAATAAATGTTAATACTATACAAATATAACCCCTTTCCTTTTGATAGATTATAAAAAGGAAATTATCAGGAAAATCCTGCATAAAATGAGCCTAAGAAATTAATCATTAAGTTCTACATATATATAGAAAAAGATAATTACAAAACAATTCTTTTGAAAACAAAACACAAACATGCCTAGTATTTTCACACATTAAGCTGCAGAAAAATTATCATTAAAGATAAAAAGCAAGAAATTTATAACTAATATTTCACAGAGACGAGAAATTGAAATTCATAATTCATAAATTTCAAATAATCATAAAAATGCAACAAAGAATTTTAAAAATGTTGAAACCAAAACATTTCAAACAAGCAAAAACTTCAAAAAATTCATGAAATTAAAAAAAAAAAAAAAATGAATAAAAACAGATGAGGAATTCAATAAGTCAATCAACCTCAATGTCACTTCATCAGGTAGGAGGAACTTTGAATTTAATTGAAATTGCTCTTCTACAAAAATCCTTGCTTTTCTGTAACCAGAATTAGCTGATGAACCATTTCAATGTATTTTAATTATAATAGTTCATACGAAAATTCTGGCCCTTCCTCAAAGCAAAGATAAAACAAAGTAAATTCTAATTAGGAAAAAATACAGTAATCTTAAATAAAGAGAATTCTACCTTTTTAAAAGAATTGAAAACGAAAGTGAAAAACAAAAGTAAAAAACAAAATACTTCAGTGAAAAACTTTTAAATCAAAATGTTTACCTTTAAACAGATAATCCAATGAATTCCGAGGTAGTTGAAAAAAAACCATTTAGAACATATAAAAAGTAATTAAGAACTTCCATCACTCTCATTAGACTCCAGTTTAAACATGAGAGTGGAAACAGAAAGGTACGTATAAGTTTGCCATCTTGGCTTCATTGGCGAAACTAAAAAACCTTGGCTCGAACATAATCGCTCAAAAGGCTAAAATCTTGTACGTAATATGTAGTTTTGAAACCAAAAGAAAAACTTTTAAATATTTCAAGGAAAATTTAATTTTTTAGTCAAAGAAAAAGACTGCACATTAATTGAATGAAATTTAAGTAAGATCTTAGTGTAAAACTATAATTAAATTTTACAATCAATTAATTCTTAAAAAAACTCAAAAAGTTATCCGAAAAATGATCAAACAGTTTTTAATAATTGTTTTGTAGATATGAGTAATATATCTATAAAGCTGAATTTTAGTTTTTTAAATTTTGTACTTTAAAATTACAGAAAGAGTTGAAAAAGGAAGTAAAGGAACTATGTTAAAGTAAAAAGTCTTCACCTCATGGGCTTCTCATGACGACTTTGAAAATATATAAGGCCATGTTAGTAACAGAATAGTAATAATAATAGTTTAAAAAAAAACTATATATCCTTTAAAACATCCTTCTCTTTTGGAGCTTTCTGATAAAAAAAATTCATACTTTTAAAAATTATTATAGGGTGTAGACTACTCCAGATTTCTTTAACATACTATTAATGAATTTTAAAGGAATTTCATTATCTTTTAAATATTGATGAGAATTAGAATTTCTTTTTTTGTGTTTCTATTTCAGTGTAAATTTTTTTAATTCTACTAATTTGGTTAAAAATAGTATTTGCAATAACTTTTTTAGATATGATAGAATTCCAATTAATAAGTTTATTAGTAGAAAAATTAAAATCTTTTCTTTTTATCAAAAAGTTTAATTTCCTTTAGTTTATGAATACTTAGATCAAGATAAACTATTTCTGTTTGGTTTTTATTGGTTTTATTTAATTTGAGACAATTTGGGTAGATGTTGCTGTTTTTGATGAGATTAAAATTGTTGAAAGTAATAATGTCATCAATGTGCTCAAATTGAATAAGTGTGCTCAAATTTACTGAAATTGTTATCAGAAAGGCTTTTAAGGAATTTAAATTCTTTAGAAAATAGAAATAGGTTACAAATATGAGTGGAATATGAACTTCCCATTGGAATTAGTTATTGCATAGTGAAAACTGCAGAAATTCTTTCCATTTTTGTAAATCCAGTATAATAAGTATTTCAGAAAAAAATTCTGTCATTTCTATAGGACTTTTGTAGATTTCCTGGAGTGGCAGGGTCGTGTAGGGGTTTTCAAAGTCATAGCAGTTAATATTAGTTCTAAATTTCTCACTTTATATTTTTATAGAAAAGATAACATACACTTTGTTCTCAGTGAACAAATACAGCATTAAAAATCCTGAATTATTGAGCCATTTTGAAATAATTTTGGCCACTGCATAACGGCAAAAATCATAATTCATCTGAAACCATACATCATAAAAAACATCAAATATTAAATTCCTAGAACTGTGATTCTTCATTTGTACAATACAGTGCAAAGTCTTTAATCCGGACTCGTCAGGACTTCGGCGATTCCAAATTAGGGGTTTTTCCGGATTATAGATCATCAATTTAAATCTGGTAAGATGGCATGCAGAAATTATAAAATAAAAAATATGAAACCGTAATTTATGAAATAAAGAGCAATTATGATCTAAAGGATACCAAAATTTACAAAAAAAAAAAAAAAAAATATTTATTTGTTTACTTTATTAAAAATTTCTTTTAATGTAAGTTGTTTAAGTTGCTTCATTTTTTGTGCTGATACTTTCTCTTTAATTCTATAAACAGACATAATTTCTTGTTCAGTTACAAAGTTCCGCTGTTCAAGTCCTGTAATTGCTGTGTCGAGAATACCGACTAACTTGTTAATCAAAATTTTTTCGTTTTCACTAACCTTTCTGTCACTTTCTTCATGCCTTTATCCATTTTTTGCAGCAATTCCACTTTTTGTTTGATGGACATCGAAACATGCTTTCGCTTTGTAGATCCTTGGGCAGCTCCAGAATCGGAAACTTTTTTTGACATAATCGAAAGTTCAAGCTTACTTTTTATAAAATTGCTCTAACAGTCTGCAAAAAATAATAAGCCGGATACAATTAGAAGATTACGGAACAGTGCAATTTGCAACATTAACTGAAATAGATAATTTTAGCCTAGCGTATAACGTCTATTATACATTAAACGCACATGCGTAAACGCATATGTGCATGCATAAGGGTATTATGCACATGCGTAAACATTACGCATGCACAGAAAGTTTGTAGCTTTGAGGTCGGGATTATAGACCATTCCGGATTATGGACGTCCGAATTAAAGACTTTGTACTGTATACTGATTTCTTGAAGAAATATTCAGGAGAAAAAGTTATCACTTAATTTGCAATAAAATTTTTTAAACAATTTGATATATTTAACTTACTCTGAATCACTGTCATTATTATTTTCTTGCACTTTTGCATTTTCAACTACTCCCTTCTTAATAATTCCATTGGAACACTCTTCTTCATTCTTTGAAGTTTCATCTGATGGTTTATCCTAATAGGAAATGAAATAATATTGTAATAGTGACATATAATTTAAAACACACACGCACACACACACACAAAAAAAAAAAAAAAAAAAAAAAAAAAAAAAAAAAAAAAAATTCAGATTTTTTTTTTAAAATTATGTCAGGGTTTTTTTTTTTTTTTTTTTACATTTTGTGTGTTTGTTACCTTTACTTATTAAATATCATGTTCTTTGCACTTAAACCATAAAATTCAGTTCAACAGCAATGTCGCAAAATAATTTTAAAAATGAGCATGCCTTTAGAATTTCCGATACACAGTTTCACGTGCTAGAGATAAAAAAGGTTTTCCCCCCCTCCGTAGAGGGTTGCCATTGCTCGCTTTTAATTCGTTGATTTGTTACTCAAAAATTCATTAAAGTTTTTCAAATTTGGTCTTCCACATGCCCATATTCATAGGATGATTACACCATTCAAAATTCGATGGCTCTATGTACCATTGTTTTATCACAATGCGAGAACATACATTTATGCAGATTTTTCATTATTTCATTTCTGTAAATATAACACAGGGCGATAATACTTTGTGGCAACTGTTTGAAAAGTGATTCGCAGTTTGTAGTGAATCAACGCAAAATCACAAAATGAAAACAATAGTCCTTCAGAGACAAGGCCCTTTTGGACTAAAGATAAATGATAAAACTTTACAAGGGTTATGTAACTTTTTCGTCTGTCATACTGAAAGGAGTAACCACTCCGGGTGACAAAAATTGTTCGTAACTCTGTAGAGACATTTTCATTGCGGAATATGTAGCTTTAAATTCTTATGTGAGAAGAATTATTACTTGCCTTCTTAACAATCAATATTACTACCTTCTTAATAATGACAGCAGTTGTGCTTGGATAAATGTTAAGCATTTAATGTTAAATGTAGCCACTAAATAACTTCTTTCCCCTCCCCTAATTTTGCATTTAAACTGCATATTTCAAAATACAAAAAAGCTTGAGTAACAGCCCAGGTAAAAAAAACTTTTGAATTTAAACAGTACATTCTAAATGAGAAAATAAAATAATAATAAAAAAACTTTACTTAATTATGGGATTGAAATTTTATTGCAACAACTTAAACTTTTATGACATTTTAAATTGCACAAAAGAGTTCCTTGCTTTTACAACTGCATTTAGTTGTGGAACATTTCCGTTTGCATTGTCAGCACATATAGCCTTGCCCTCCACTTCTCAAATTAGCTGCAGCTGCTTCTCTCAGTGACCTTTCTTGAATTCTTGAAAAGAAATCTCATCTATGGAAAGTATCTTTTCTTTACAAATTACAAACTGATTATGGCATAATTGCCAACCTATGACACTCAAAAATCAGGAGATTTTTTTAAGAAATCAGGAGATTTTTCACAATGTTAAAAAAGACTTTTTAAATGATAAAAATATAGTTTTTAATAATGAATTAACTTTAAATAGTTACTAATTCTTAAATGCAAGCAACACAAAATACCTTACACATAAAAAAATTTATTACTTGCATCATTTAAGGAAAAAAAAAAAAAAAAAAAAAAAAAAAAAAAAGAGAAAAAAGGACACTTTAATCAATTTTCATACAAATGTTGTGAACAGTGGCAGATTTTGCTTTCGTTAAGAAACTTCATAATTTTGTTCATAGCAATTGCCACGTAGGCCTGCTTTTGCTAATAAAAGTGTTTCTAATGTGTCATCACTAATATTAGATCTAAATTTAGTCCTCGTTTTCGCAACAACACTGAAAATCCTCTCACACTCTGCATTACTATGGAGAACTGTCAAGATGGGCAACATAATTCTAGACAGTTTACTATATTTTAAAATTCCATCAGCACCTTTCAGTTTTCCAATTAAACTTCACTGGGTGTCAATCCTAGCTGATTTTATAACTCCATCCAAGTTTTCTAATTGTAAACTGCAAAATTGCGACTGCAATATTATCAGTGGCAACATTAATATCATTATCTTTCATGACTAAATGAAGTAATACAGGAAATCTGTTAAAAAAGTACCTTATATCAGAAAAAGATGCATTTGCTTAAGCAGAAACATCAGCAACTTTAGCATGCAAAATCACTTCATCGCTGACTGGAAATTTATGTAGTATGTAATCACATACTCGACAGAAGTAACTTCTAACATGAAATAAAACTTATTTTTGTCTTCTTCTGAAAGTTCTTCCACTACTTTTATAGTTGCAGCTCCTATTACCAAATCTTCTTCTTTCTTCTGATTTTCTATTTCACCATAAATTACATCATATATAAAATTACAAGACATAACACAGACTGGTTTTACAAACTTTGATAAAATGTCTTTAAACAGATCATAAATCATTGATTGCAAAACATGAATTAATGGAATTCTGCTTTGTAGAACTGTGTTAAGAACATCGAATGATGGCAAAATGAATTGTAAAAAAAAAGCAAAAAGCTTTGTTAAGGTTAAAAAAAAAAAAAAACATAAATATTCGTTCTTCACAAGATAAACTTACAGTAATCGGAAAATGTTTCATGTGTTGAGAAATTTTTTTTTTTTTATTTTGAGAGAAATTTGTATCAGCTTTACACTTATATTTTGTAGTATTATTTTGAGAACTGCCAGTTGAATTGCCGAATGGTGCAGAAATTACTTTATTTTTCTAAAACCTATTTTTAACAATGGAAGAAGTAACTAAATCTCCATTTACTTTAGGCATTTTATAACTTTCAAAAGAACCTTTTATCTTAACTCTCAAAGCATTTACTTCTTTAAAAAATGCAAGAAGTGGGTACCACTGATCGAGGATTCTAGATAAGCATTTCTTTAAAGACAGCTAGTGTGTATACGCATATTTCAAAATTTTTCTCATTTCAGTATTATGGCAGCTGTTGGAACTGTTTTAATTTTCCCTTCCTTCTAGAACTCCTTTCAAGATAATAATAAATATCAACAATGTGTTCATCCACATTTATTGGTAAAGAAGCTGCCCCTTTTTCAGCTGCTAAATTTAAGAGGCGACAGGTGCATCTCATAAACTGCAAATCTGAATTTTCCTTTCTTGAGATGCCTGCAACACCAGTCTTCAAGCCTACCATTACTGGTACATTATCGGCACCAAGTACTAAGCAATTATCTAGAGGGACTGCATTTTCTTTTAAAGTTTTAATAATTTGCTGTGCTATATTAAAGCCTGTCAAATGTCTTTCTAAAGTGGGAACAGAAAGTAAACTGCACTCACTTTCTGAAGACTCTGGAGTAAAAAAAAGAAACAACAATTGGATACAGTTTTGAATCGGTATTATTGCTTCCATCCATAGAGAGGCAGAATGGAGCTGTTTTAATGCAATCAATAACTGAAGATTTATTTTTCAAACCCATTTCTTTAACAATAGCACCTGTTTTGGGCTTTGCACTTGAGTATTTCTTAGCGATTTCACTATCAGAGAAACATTTTTCTAAATAAAGCTGCAGCGTGATCCGATGCATTAAGTGGCAGGTTGTGCTAGAGTAAAAAGGCAGAGAACAGACATTATGCATTAATAACTTTTTGGTTCTTTGTTTCCGAAGAAAAATTTAATTTTTCATTTTTTTCAAAACAACTCATGTTTTCCTTGTGTTTTTGTGTACGCACATGTTTGAGAACTTCCACCATGCGAAATCGAAAAATCGCAACGACAGAAGGTATACATTGCAAATATATTATATTTCCTTGAAGAAATAATGGAAGGAAAGACAACTGTGTACGATTTTTGAAATGTACACGAGTATTTCACCTTTCTCGCAGACATAACAAAAGATCATAATTTCTAAAACTTTTTTACTGAAGGAATGTCTACTCACACAACTCGGGACAAGATGAACGAAATAATTAAAGAACATCCAAATAACAGCCTTGAGCTTGCTTTGTGCTCATTGGCTAATATATGACAGAAGACACGCGGTGGAGCTCGTTGCTCATTGGAGAACGACGTTTCTGGATATGTATGATCTCACTCCCAAAGCAGAAATTCTCATCTGATTCGCAAGGTTTTGTTTCAGATATAATATAGAGAAAATTCAATTGCTTGAAGTAGTAAGCCGAGTCCTATAAAAATCGTGAGAAATACATTGTAAATCGGGTTGGCGGGAGAGCGGTTGAAAATCGGGAGAGTTGGAAACTCTATTATGGGCATAAAGTTGCTTGCAGGAGCTATTTTTATTTGCTAGTTTATAAAAGTCAGTCTTCTATTGCAACAACAGCCAACACATTTCGGCTATCTGTATGACCATGGTCGCATCAGGGACTTGTATTCGTACGGTATCACCTATTTAAGCAGAAGTTTTTTTTTTTTTTTTTTTTTTTAGGTTTATAACATTTTTGTTGCTTGCAGCAGAAGATTCTCTTTTGCAGCCGATCTTTTTTATAGAAATTAACTCATGTTGTTCAGTCAGGGCTTGATATGAAGATGTGGTAGGTTGCAGGTCGTCTTTAATATTTTACTTTGGACTATGGTTTTCGGCATGGCCACTGCTCAGATTTTCTTCAAAAGTATTAACAGTTTCTTTAAGCTGTTCTTCGGTTTCAAAAGTATTAGCAATTTCTTTAAGTTGTTCTTCGGTTTCAATATTTGCAATTTGTTTGCCAGGCAAAAAAGATGATGCTGTGCCTCTTCATAGTTTAATGCCAAACATGGCTTCATAAGGACTTTGGGGTATTCCTCCATGATATGTACTGTTCTTGGCAAATTGAACAAAGGGCAAACCATCTGATCATTTATTTGTATCGTTACTGTTCATCCATGCAGATAACATATTCTGTATATACTGATTAGCCCTTTCAACTGAGCCTTGTGTTTGACTATGACAAGGCTTTTCATGAACTATCTTAACATCTTTCCACATAGCACATAGTTCAGATATGACTTTACTGAATTCACTACCGTTATCTGAATGCAATATAGCTGGAGCACCAAATGTTAAAATATTTGAAGATGATACACTACTTCTACAGATGTCTTAGTTTTCAATGGTTGTA